ATCTAATGAAGCCTTAGCTCTAACTTCCAGCCTACAGGGAATGAAACCGTCTGAAAGGTCCTCAGGAGCAGTTTTCTGGAACTCGTTCATATTTTTAACAAGTCAACCACGTGAAAAGTGAGAAGACAGAAAGGAACACAAAGAGCAACACCCTGGCAAGGTGTTGGTGGCTCATGCCTGTAATCTTAATCACTCAGGAGGCTGAGATCCTGAAGATTGTGGTTCAACACCAGCCTGGATAGAATAGTTCACTAAATTCCCTCTTCAAATCAGCCAGCAAAGGGGCTGGGAAGGTGGCTCAGTGGTAGAGTCCTTGCCCCTCATGCATGAGGCCCTGGGTTCCATTCCTCAGCACCACATAAACAGAAGGGCTCTGTGGCTCAAGTGGTAGAGCGCTAGCCTTGAGCTGAAGAGCTAAGGGACAGTGCCCAGGCCAAGTTCAAGCCCCACAACCAACAAAAAAGTCAGCAAAAAAAGCAGGGTTGGTGGTGTGGTTCAAGTGGTAGAGTACCACTTGAAAGAAAGAAAGAAAGAAAAAGCCAAGCAAGCATGAAGCCTGGCCTCCAAGTCCCAGTATTAAAAGAAAAAAAAAGTAATTGAATAAACTTAAAACTGGTAAGATTTGGGTCGAAAAAGCCCATCTGGAAAAGGTGTGCAGTATATGAGTCAAACTCTTATGAGTGTAAAAGGGTAGAGTGTAAAAGCACAGAGGCAGATGCTTGGTTGGTTTGCTTGGGATCTGGGGATCTGCAGGGCGGTGGAACACACCTGTAGGAAGCTCTAAGGACAGGTACCTGTCCGCATGCATCTGTCAAAGCCCAGAGCAAGCAGAACACAAGGAGTGAAGCCTGACAGTAACTAGGGGCCACAGCTGTTAGAGCAATATTGGCTCAGCAGCTGTTAATGGTAAATGCACCTTGCTGACGGGGATGCTGGTGATGGGGGAGATGTGTGTGTGTGTGTGTGTGTGTGTGTGTGTGTGTGTGTGTTGGGTGGAGAGCTTGGCTATGTAGAAACTCTGTATGTTTTGCTGACCCTAATGTTATTTTTTTTAAGGTAAGAGCTGGGGACCATGGCTCACGCCTGTAATCCTAGCTACTTAGGAGGCTGAGATCTGAAGATCGTGGTTCAAAGCCAACCTCAGGCAGGAAAGTCCATGAAACTCTTATTTCCAATAAACTGCCCATAAAGCCAGAAATGGATCTATGGCTTAAGTGGTAAGAGCACTTAAGTCCTTGAGCAAAAGCAGCTCAGGAACAGCACCTAGACCTTGAGTTCAAGCCCCAGGACTGGCACAAAACAAACAAATGAAGAAAGCAAGTCTCACTCAGGCTCTGGTGGTTCAGGCTTGTAATCCCAGTTCGAAACCAGCCCAAGCAGACAGAGCTGAGAGACTCCAACTAACTACTAAAAATGCCAGCAGTGGGGGTATCGCTCAAGTGGTAGAGCACCAGCCTTGAGCAAAAAAAACAAAAACAAAAACCACTAAGGCCCTTAGTTCAATCCAATGTACTAGCACACACACACACACACACACAAGTGTGAATTCGGCATCACGGAAGTGTTTGAGGCTTTGGCAGGTGCAGGGCCTGGCAGATGGAGTGAGCCCACTCTGCCATCCACAGCATAAAACAGAGGTCACCTTCGAGCATTTCCTCACAGGCCAGCAGGGACTTTTCTTCTTGGTTGCTTTTTTTCTCGTTTGTCCGAGAAAACACTGAATTCTTACAAGGGCCAGGGACAGAGTCAGCTCAGCAAGTCTTGCACCTGCTCCTGAGATGCTGCACAAATGCAGCGCGGCGTTCAGGCTTCTGGCTCCTGGGGAGGGGGCCATTGACACAGCACTGTTGCCATGGGAACTAGATGGGGGCCCGATCTGGGGTCCTGTGACCTCTCAGGCCCTCTGCCCCAGGCCATTGTGAATATTTTCCTGGTTTAGTTTGTTCTGTTTTATGTTCTTCCAGAGTGCTAGCTATGGAGAACGTAGAAATACACTCTCCCCTCCCATCCCACAAGCTCTAGGTCAATGGCTCTTAGTGTGATTTATACACATGAATGACCCAGGCATATTGAAACACCTGGCTCCTAAGGTTCTAATTCAAGTTGTCTAGAAACTGACAAAAAAAAATTTTTTTTAGCCCCTCTGGGTGACTTTGATGAATAGCGAAGGTTGCAAATTGCTGGTGCTGACAATTCCTTAAGTATATAGTCTTCAATACACCAGAACTGGGCATGGTGGTGCATGACTATAATCCCAGCGTTAATGGAAGACAGAAAGATTGTGAAGTTCAAGCCCGGCCTCAGCTACTTATTAAAACCCTTACCTCAAAACAAAGACTGCTACACTTGAGCAAAAGGTTGTGACTTCCCTACATATTTTTAGTGTTTTCTTATATTCATTAAGGCTCTGAGTGAGGAAATTTCCTTTGGCTTAAGGACTCTAGAGGCTGGGGGAGGAAGATCAGGAGTTTAAGGCCAGTCAGGGGTCCATATAGAGACCCTATCTCAAAAACCAAAGTGTTATTACAATACTCGGACAGTCCAAAATATAGTTCTATGCTCCCTTCCTGAGATTTACTTCTGAAACAAGTAGAAATGAAGATCTCATGTCCTGACATCTAGCTATTCTTTTGCCATGTCTGAATGTCGCTACTGAAATGTAAAATGAGGAGCAGCAACAATTCTTAGGTTCCACCTGCCTTACTAAACCAAGATGTGTATTTTAAGAAAGCTCCCAACTGTGCCCCTAGCCTTTGGATGTCTATGCAACCTTTGCATATTCATTTTTTTTCCCTCTGCCACTATTCACTGGAGCTGATTTAAACTAGTTTATTTTTAGTCCTGCTAAACAATAACCATGAAATCCTGAGTTTCGTATCAGACACTTTCCTTCAGTGGCGGTTCACGTGGCCACCCCATACACGTTCTTTGGGTTTGATCTCCTCTGTCTCCTGTTTCCCAGAGACCACCCAGGATTTACCTGGGTTACATGCTTCTGGTGTGAACGCCAGTGTGGTGGATAGCCTCAAGGGTGCTGAAGAAAGTAATGGGGCCAGATGCCAGTAGAATGGCATTAGGCAACCACTAAGATCCCTCATCTTCCTGCATCAACACATCCGCCATCTTCGTAGCTGTCAGTGAAAGATTGAGTCTGTGACACCCTACATATGAGCCAAGTTCCACAAGGTTCAATATGCAGTGGGGTTTTTTCAACAGTTTTATTAGTGTACTTTGGTTGTTAATATGGGGGGGATTTCATTGTGTTATTTCCATGAATACATGCTTTGATCACATTCATACATGCTTCGATCACATTCATACATGCTTTGATCACGTTCATACGTGCTTTGATCACACTCACCCCTCCGTGACTTTTCATATCTTGGGTCTTAACTCTAGCCACACCCCACTATTCTATAGCAGATTGTGGGGGTCAGAACTGCAGCTGTGTCTTTGAAGGATCAAAAGTCAATGCAAAATTGTTATGTGTATGGGGGGAAATTCTGTATTACCTTAACTTCTCCCTTTCCTCCTTTCTTCCCCATTCTCTCAGTTATTGACATGTTTTTCTCCTTCCGCATGATAATGAAAGGATCTAAGACCATTTCCAGAGGAAGCCTTTTCTAAACAAATTTTTATCAGCAAGAGATTTATGAATATAACCAGTTTCATGATCTGTTGAGCGTGAATTCCAGACCTGCTATTACCCACCGGGGGAAAAAACTTGAACTCTGGGGTGTTATACATTTTCTAAGCCTTCTCACAAGTAATATCCCCTTAGAATTACCACTCTACAAGGTGATTATGAAAAAAGATATATTTTAACAGATTTACAAGATTAGGCATGAAGAGCAAATTACCTTAAGGCCATCTAGTGTAACCAGTAAGAGTTAAAAGTTAGCACTCAGCAACTATCCTGAATCTTGGGTACTACGTGTTTTCCTCTAAGTCTCCAACGATTTTCTTCATCAAATGCTACTAGCCACCGCGTGCTTATGTTCAGAGTTTTGGAAAAGGCCCTTCACCTATATCCTAAGTCTCCAGGAAGGCTAACAGAGGACAGAGCAGGCGCCATGAACTCAAAGCCCTACAGGGAAGCAGGCAGGAATAAAAGGTAGATAGGTAGGTAGAGAAGTCAGGAAGGGGAGTGCTAGCTGGTGTGGCCCCATCTAAGGGCCCCGGAACACTTAGGAATGCAGCCCCAGCTTGACAAGTCTTTCCAGAAGCTACAGAGGCGGGCTTTCATGTTCAAACTCAGGTTTCTGTGCATGATTCAAATTTCAGATAAAAGAACACCTTGGAGTCTGAAGCCAATGTTTAGACCATTCTGGCAACCTACCCTCCACCCCCTCCTTTGTCCACGGAAAGTTCACTCAAGGGACCTTTAATTTCTCAGAACTCCACTGAAACACATCGAGGACATGGCCTTTGAAAGCAGGCTGCACCCCACCCTCTAGACCACGATGGTGCGAGGAACTCTGACCCCAGAAATGAATTATTGTCAGAGTTTGCTCAAACTGAAACTGAAATTAATACCCGCCCCCCCCATCTGGAAAATCCATGCTTCTAAACAATGGTATGGCTGACTAAAGATGCTCTTGCAATAAGCCTTTGTCAAACGCTTTAGACGAAACAAAAAAAAAATTAACCAAATTGTGAAAAATTGATTCAGTTACAAAGCCATGGCATCCCTTGGAATAGCTGAGCCCCACACTTGTGTACAAAAATGCCCACGTTCGTGTATCATGGCACAAATGAAGTAGAAAGGGCACACAGGGGCTGATTCACACAGTGAATTATTTTCTCCCCCCTGGGCTTTCATTTTCTTTGTTTTGGGGGTTTTGGTTTGTTTGGCCAGTCCTGGGGCTTGAACTCAGGGCCTGCGTCCTGTCCCTGAGCTGTTTTTTGTTTTTGTTTTTTTTGCTCAAGGCTAGCACTCTACCACTCGAGTGGCAGCATCATTTCTGGTTTTTTCAGCGTTAAGTGGTACTGAGGAATCGGACCCAGGGCTTCACGCATGCTAGGCAAGCAAGCACTCTACCACTAAGCCACTATTCCTAGCCCTGGGCTTTCATTTTAAAGCTTTACTTACAGCTTTACACACGGCTTCAGATTTAAGAAAAAGAGACCGCTTGTGTCTGAACACAGTAAATGTTCAGGTCAGATGAGACTGGACCCAGAACACATACATGCTATCTAATACAATGCTCAGAGTGAACTCACTGCGCTAAAACATTCTTCCTAATCAGGGCTCAACCACTCAATGCATTGCAGTTCCAGAAAACACATCCATTTCTCCATGGGGGAAATAAACACCTGCAACCCCATGCAGTAAAACCCTTGGGGAAGGCAGCAATTAGAATATAAAACAAAAGAAGACTCCTGAATTGCTTCTAAAGTGTCTCAAATTAAATTTTTTTCTGGCTTTTAAGTTCTATTCCTCCCGCTACCCTTTTTTTGAGTTTTAGTGGCCAAGATATAAATTTCTTTCCTATATAATTAAGGAGTGTGTCCCTTGATGGGCAGGAGAATGGTGGGGTCTGAAGGAAGCACAGTTTCCTAACGTCTGCATGTTCCAGAAAATGAGCTGCAATGACTGGAAAGAGTTGAGTTTGTTCTGGTATAAAACTGAGGATGCTATTAACAATGACGTTGAGAGATCCACATGGCAATTAGTGAGGTGGAGTGTCACCCACGCAGAAGATGGTCCGGCGTTTAGCTGGTTGACACTGTGGTACCTGGTGGCTATCTTCTATAGGGATGAGCAAGAGACCCCTTGGAGGAGGGCGGGGCCTTAGTCCAGGACATAAGGGTTATCCGCGATGATGTAGATGTTGTCTTCTGCCTGGGGTTTCCCTTCGGTGGCACTGTGCAAGGCTCCAATGGCATGGGCTTTGAATGCCACCAAACTGCAGAACGGGAGGGTAGAAAATGCGAGGGAAAGGTGAATCGCTTCTCACATAGGAGCAGTGCTTTGATTTGCTCACTTTAGTTCTGGTTTTATTCTTGTTCTGTTTTTGTTTTTTTTTCCAGACAGGGTCTTGCTCCAGCACCCAGGCTGATCTCAAACTTGTAATCCTCAGCCTCTCTACCTCCTGAATGGTGGGATTAAAGGCATGTTGCCACCATTAATGGTTTGAGCAGCACTGTTATTTGTGATTTGGCAATATTGGGTATAGGACTCTAGGAGCTTATAAAGTGAATAGAGCTTTAGAGAGTTCTGAAAGGTATGGTTCTGAGTATTAAGTTTTACAAAAATCTGTTTTAAGACACTGCCAGGTGCTAGGGGCTCACACCTATGATCCTAGCAACTCAGGAGGCTGAGATCTGAGGATCAAGGTTTGAAGCCAGGGCAGACCAATCTGAGAGACTCTTATCTCCAAGTAACCAACAAAATGCTGGAAATGGAGATGTGGCCCAATTGGTAGAGTCTCAGTAGTGACGAGACAAGGCCAAGCAAGAGTTCAGGGTCCAGTGTAGAAGCAACAACAGCAGAAAACAAGAAGGAAGAGAAGGAGAAAAGAAGAAGGAAAAAGGAAGAAGAGGAGGAAGAGGAGGAAGGGGAGGAGGACAACAAGAAGAGGGGGAAAAGGAAGGAGAAGGAGGAAGAGGAGGGGGAGGGAAGGAAGGAGGAAGAGGAAGAGGAGAAGAGCAGATAGTCTAAGAAGCATTAAAAAAATCACAGCTAGGCATGGTAGATCATGCCTGTAATCATAGCTATTCAGGAAGCTGAGATCCAAAGGATCATAGTTTGAACCCAGATAGAGCAGAAAGGTCTGTAAGACTCCATCTCCAAAATAACCAGCAAGAGCCAGGCTGGAGGCATGGTTAAATTGTAGAGCACCCGTGAAGCAAGTATGAAGCTGCAAACCCTAGTACTGAAGAAAAAAATCTCAGACTAGTCCCTACAGAGAGAGAATCCAAAAGCAGCTACCTGACTTCAACCCAAGCTAGCAACTGAGGATGAAGAGGTCGGCTGGCCTTCTGGGGACCGCGTCATAGCTGCTGTGGGAGGTGGGTTAGGGGAGCTCCTGGTAGGGCTTCTTTGGACTGAGGGCTGGATTTTGTCCAAGGCCAGGAGGCACATGTCAGAGAAGAGAGCAGACTAATTTTAACTCATGGGATAGTTCACTGTGGCTGCCATGTGCACAGGACTCCTCAATTGTCAAAAGCTTGCAACCTGAGTATTCACTCCGCTGCAGGTGGTAAAAGCCCATCACAGAATGGCACGTGTTCTTTCTCATATACAGAAGCTAGATCTAAAATGCCAGAACATAATATATCATACAGGGCCTAGCCATTCACACACAGTGAGACCAAAGGAGGACGCTCTTAAAAGAGGAATAGAAAGGTGCAGTGCTGGCTGGGAAGGTGGCTCAGTGGTAGAATGCTTGCCTTGCATGCCTGAGGCCCTGGGTTCGATTCCTCAGCACCACATAAGCAAAAAGAAAAAAGCCGGAAGTGGCGCTGTGGCTCAGGTGGTAGAGCGCTAGCCTTGAGCTGAAGAGCTGAGGGACAGCGCCCAAGCCCAGAGTTCAGGCCCCACGACCGGACCCGAAAGAAAGGTGCAGTGCTTATGTGATCATACAGAATAGTATTTATCCCAAGGAACTCCAGGATGGAAACAAGGTGTTTTCTTTGTGACTGTTTTTCTTTTCTTTTCTTTTGGTCTTGTTTGTGTGTGTATCAGTCTTTGGGAGTATAAGGGGAGGCACAGAAATGGAGGAACTAAGGGTGAATGAATGCAGCAGTGGTACTCGCTAGACACTATGTTGGAAATGAACTATAAAACTTGTAAAGTAGGGATGGGAGGGGGAAAATGGGAGAGAGCAAGGGAAGGGGTACACTGTTCTAAAAGAAATGAAAGCTGGAAATGTAGCTTCATGGTAGCGTGCTTGCCTAGCATGCATGAAGTCCTGGGTTTGATTCCTCAGTACCACATAACAGAAAAAGCTAGAAGTGGCGCTGTGTCTCAAGTGGTAGAGTGCTAACCTTGAACAAAAGCAGCTCAGGGACAGTGCCTAGGCCCTGAGTTCAAGTCCTAGTACTGGCAAAAAAAAAACTGTACTCTTTCCTGACTTGTATAATTGTAACCCCTCTGTATATCACCTCTATAATAACACTTTTGTTAAGGTAAAAAGCATTTGTATGGCCCTTAAAATGGGTCATGGCTCATTCCTACCTATGTGAATTCAGCTCAGGTGTCATTAGCTCAAGTCATTAACCTGAGGGTGGCAGAAAGGAAATGGCTTCATATGTTTAATGTCTTTACGATTTTGTGGTTGTTGCTGCTGCTGTTTTTGCCAGTCCTGGGCTTGAACTCGGGGCCTGAGTGCTGTCCCTGAGCCTCCTTGTGCTCAAGGCTAACACTCTACCACTTGAGCCACAGCACCACTTCTACCTTTTTCTGAGTAGTTTATTGGAGATAAGAGTTTCATGGACTTTCCTGCCTGGTCTGGCTTCAAATCACAATCCTCAGATTTCAGCCTCCTGAGTAACTAGGATCACAGACACACTAAATGAAGGTTCCAGAACCCAAGGTAGAGACAGAGAGTAATAAAGACCCACACAGCATTTCGTGCTTACCTTACAGACTTCCTCTTTCTCATGTGGAAATATCCTAGGGTGGAGGAAGGCAAGGAGGGGTTGGAAAGAAAATGGAACAAGTCAGCCAAACAACTGATGATATCTTTCCATCAGGTGCAGTTATTTTAGGACTGGAGGTGGGGCTCAAGTGATAGAGCCCCTGCCTAGCAAGGACTCTCCAAAACAAATTGTACTACTTTTGGGAAGGGAGGGGCCCTTGATCTCTGTCCTTTACTTTTCACTAAAGGTTGGCACTCTAACACTTGACCTGCAGCTCCACTTCTGGCTTGTTGGTCTTTAATTAGAAATAAAAAGTTTCATTGACTTTCCTGCCTGGGCTGGCTTCGAACCTCAATTCTTGGTTCTCAGCCTCATGAGTAGCTAATTTAGCAGGCATAAGCCACTGGCACGCAGCAAATGGTGCTATTTTTATTTTTACTTGACTCCTTTGGATGATTGACTCCTTCTTTTAAGATGATTTCTTCCTGCATTCCTGTTGTTGGGGTCTGTAGACCCCTAATAAACTTTATTGCTCATTAAGTCATTTTTTTTTCAGTAATGGTTTGGTATGACTTGCGATGATATCATTGTTCAATTAGCCTACATTTAAAAAATAAGATGTTGGGCTGAGAATGTGGCTTAGTGGTAGAGTGCTTGCCTACCATGCATGAAACCCTGGGTTCCATTCCTCAGTACTACATAAACAGAAAAGGCCAGATGTGGCGCTGTGTGGCTCAAAAGGTAGAGCTCTAGCCTTGAGCGAAAAAAGCTCAGGGACAGTGCCCAGGTCCTGAATTCAAGCCCAGGATAAGAAAAAATACTCCATGAAAACCTTTTATACTCTAGTGGAATTTTGTATCCCAAGTAGTCACTGTACTCAAGAGGGAAATAAAAGTTTGGGTTAAGAAGGGGGTTTGTGGGGCTGGGAAGGTGGCTCAGTGGTAGAGCGCTTGCCTTGCATGCTCAAGGCCCTGGGTTCAATTCCTCAGCACCACATAAGCAAAAAGAAAAAAGCCGGAAGTGACGCTGTGGCTCAAGTGGTAGAGCGCTAGCCTTGAGCTGAAGAGCTGAGGGACAGCGCCCAGGCCCAGAGTTCAGGTCCCACAACCGGACCCCCCCCAAAAAAAAGAAGGGGGTTTGTGGGAGACATGTTTACCCAATTTCTAAATAATCATTTGACTAACCAAGTTCTAAATAACTGGAGAGAAATGAAATTCCCTAACTGTTTTCTGCTCAGACAATTAAGCAGGTTAGTAACAGGCTTATTATTTATACACAGTGTCTTGTAATCCATGATTAGAGTTCTCTAATAAGGAGATTACAGAAATACCATACTTACATGTACATGTATAGATGCACACATGTGCATGCACACACACACACACACATACACGCACGCACATGCACATGCAGCAAAGGGACACACAGCATCACACAGCATCCCAGACTTCTTTTCTAGTCTTGGTCATGCATTGTTTCCCCTCCCATTGTTTTGTGTGCTTCTGATGCTCAACAATTGTTGTAGATCTTTCAACAACATCACCCCCATGGGGCTGCTGGGCGGGTCCTTAGGATGGGAGAGCATGCATGCTCTTCTGAACTGCACTGGTTTTTTGCCTTGAAGATCTCCATTCCATCTGACAAACGCTAGTTTCTTACTATTTAATTCATTTTATGAAAAAAATAAGTTTAAATTTTCTCTTCAGGGGGCCAATAATTGGGAAATAAAGAACAGGTTGATATTTCTCTCTCCTGTTCCCTGTCTCTCCCCCACCTCCACCCCTTTTTTCTTTTTTTGGTCATGGGTCTTGAGTGCAGGGCCTGGGCGCTGTCCCTGAGCTCTTCAGCTCAAAGTGAGCTCTCTACTACTGGAGCCACAGAGCCACTTTGGGTTTTCTGGTGGTTATTTGGAGATCAGAGTCTTACAGACTTTCCTGCCTGGACTGGCTTTGAACTGTGATTCTCAGATCTCAGCCTCCTGAGTAGTTAGGATTACAGGCATGAGCCACCGGCCCCTGGCTTCCACCCCATTGGCTCAGACCTGTACTGGAATCATGACTCTCCTATTTTATGAGACTCTCCTATTTTATGTTCGCTGGGATAAGAGACTTGTGCCACCACCCCCAGCTTCTTCCATTGAGATGGAGTCTTGTGAACATTTTCATCCAGACTGACCTAGAACTGTGGTGCTTCTTGCTCTCAGCCTCCTGAGTAGCTACGATTACAGGCATTAGTCATGTGCCCGGCTAAAAAGAACTATTAAGACTAGCAGTGTAAGTACACAGCAGTGTACTTATGATGTGTCAGAAGAACCACTCTCCACGCTGCAAAGGTCCCAGCACATGTTGTGGGATGTGGAGAGTACCACCAGGTATGTTGCAGAACCGAGGACTTGGGAACTCAAGGCAGTCACGGGAAATCAAAATCACAAGCCAACCTAGGGTTCCTTAAACACAGGCAGTTTGTCTTTAGAACCTTGTTCTGAAACCCGAGGAATAATCTGGAAATGACTTACTTTTCATAACCAGGGCAGCCAAAGTGAGCAACAGGAAGGAAGAAATCAGAGTTCCAGTTAGGAGTCCACTCATGGTGGCCCTCCACTGCTGTTGTGCTGGTGACGGCTGCAAAGAGACAACAGCAAATCCAGTCAGAGAACGCTTCCCAGAGCACCTTGCTCCAAGACATAACTCTTTATCAGCCCTTGGGGACGTCTAGCGCAGGGGGCTAAGACCGGATGGTCTGAGATGGTAATGACCTTGTGAAACCAGCATTTGAAATTCAAAGTTTATTTAAGGAAGTATCTTCCGCTTTTCTTGGGGTAGCCTTAACAGGAGTGTCTTGCCTTTGTCAAAATTCAAATTAGATGCTGAAAGTGAGTTTGTACATAATGTATGTAAATTGTTTTAAAAACCAACTGGCTGTTTCTTTAAACATACTGTCTTAGGATATTAAAATACAGCTCTGATTCATATTGAAGTTGTTTTGATCTAAGACTGTGCTCAAGTATTAAGTTTGCCTTTTTACTTGTTTGTCTTTTATATGAGAGCTTTGGGGCTTGAACTCAGAGCCTGGGCGCTGTCCTGGAGCTTTTTTGCTCAAGGCTAGCGCTCTACCACTTGAGGCATAGCGCCAGTCCTGGCTTTTTGGTAATTCATTGGAGATAAAACAGTTTCACAGGTTTTTCTGCCTGGGCTGGCTTCAAATTGCAATCCTCGGATCTCAGCCTCTTTAGTAGCTAAGATTACAGGCATGAGCTACCAATGCACATCCAGGATGTATTGTGTATGTAAGAGTGTGTGTGTGTATGTGTGTGTATGTGTGTATACTTTTGCAAAGTATCATTTAATAGATATCTCTAACAAATTAGTGTACCTAAGTGAACTTTTCAAATCATAATATTATAGGATTCAAGTTCTTCACTTAAGAAGGAAAATGCAATCTGTGGGCTAATCTTAAATACAGCTTGCTTCCAGGAAAGCCTACAAGTGAATCTAGCTGGTAAAGTACTTACAGTTTGATTATTATACCAAAGGCCACCATCTGAAGACTGAGTCGTGGTGTCATTCCCATCTGCTCAACAAGAGGTATAATTAATTAGGATCACAAAAATACTGAATTTTCATGCAGACACTAAATATATTTACTTTGCCTTCTGGTAATGAATGAAAGCTGAATAATATGATCAAATACTATACAATAATAATGTGCTCAACTAGTATAGGCTTTCCAAGAGTCATACCAAGGATTTAGCATTTAAATTATCCGAAGTTATATTTCTTAATCTTTTGTTACAGATTCTTTGAAAATGGACTTTTTTTTTCCTTTAAGAAAAAAAAGAATGCAGCCAGGCACCGGTGGCTCACGCCTGTAATCCTAGCTACTCAGGAGGCTGAGATCTGAGGATCATAGTTCAAAGCCAGCCCAGGCAAGAAAGTCTGTGAGACTCTTATCTCCAATAAACCACTAGAAAACCAGAAGTGGTGTTGTGGCTCAAATGGTAGAGCACTAGCCTTGAGCTGAAGAGCTGAGGGACAGTGGGCAGGCCCAGAGTTCAAGCCCCATGACCTGCAAAAAGAAAAAGGAAAGAAAGAAAGAAAGAAAGAAAGAAAGAAAGAAAGAAAGAAAGAAAGAAAGAAAGAAAGAAAGAAAGAGAACGAAAAAAATGCATGTAAACACATGATGAAACCAAATTTCACTTATGAACAGGTTAATAAAAACCCAGAGCTGGCCAGGCCCGGGTGGCTCACACCTGTAATCCTTGCTACTCAGGACAAAAAGATCTGAGAATCGCTTTTCAAAGCTAACCAGGCAGGAAACTCTGTGAGACTCTTATCTCCAATTAATCACAGAAAAAGCCAGAAGTGGTACTGTAGCTCAGTGGTAGAGTGCTAGCCTTGAGCAAAAGGACCTTAGGGACAGCACCCAGGCCAGAGTTCAAGGGGGTAGTGGGGGAGAAACAAACAAACAAAGCAGGGCTACCTGCACACTCAAAGACCAGAACCTCCCTATCTGGAATAGACTTTACATTGGTTTTACATTCAGAATGTGAGTAAAACCTACTATCATATGCAAATCAGGTAGAACTTAGTTCTTATGATTTACCTAGAGGCTGATCTAGAAGTACATTAGAAAATGCTTGTAATATGAGCCACAAGACCATTGCATCTTCTACTGTGTAAGGATTAGGAGTTTATGCAGCATAAATATTCATCTTAAAGTTTAATACCGTATATAACATATAAACATTCAAAGTTTTATACAGTATATAACATTAATCTTAAAGTTGTGAACACTTGAATTTTCTTTTTATTTAAACATTCTAATTTTTCGAGTGTTTTCACAATTCCCATTTGGCAACGGAATATATTCTTTTGTTTTCTCTAGGCATCTACAGGTCAAATGCACAATTCTCTTTCTACTGATATACAAACACTTTACATCCTAACAACCAGCTCCTTAATTCCATCTGGTTAAGAAAAAAAAGACATCTCAAATGTATGACAGCAAGACTCCCTTCCCCTGGGGACAATGGCTCTACCATGGGCCAGACTTGGGGAAGAACCCAATGCTCCAAGACCCTGACACTTCAATAAGAACTTGTACCCCACTAAAAATTCTTATGGTTCTCTCCCAAGAGATGACCCGCTGTTAGTCTACTGAAAGTGTATTCCTTCCTAATAAACTTTCCTATCTTTCACAGAAGAAGAGAAGGAGAAGGAGGAGGAGGGAAAAGAAAATGAGAAGAGAGGAAGGCGGAGAGGGAGAAGGAGAAAAAAACAGGAATGGTTGAGCATGCTTTCAGTTTGGTCCAATGACAGGTATCTCTGCTAGAACCACCACCTACAGCATGGCGGTTGAGCCGGATGAGATTTAAATTCAAGGAGGTAAAACAGGCTCTGTTTTGGCATTGGTACCAGGGGGAGGGGTGAGTGAGGGCGAGTACAGTCAAAGTATTTTGTATACAAGTGTGCTCACAGAATAATGAAACCTATTGAGACTGGTTTAAGGGGGTGGTGAGGAGGGAGAGCCAGAGGAGGCGAGTTTGACCAGGGGACACTGTATAGATGGATGGAAATGTTCACACCCACACACACCTTGTACAACTACTAAGTGCTAATGATAAATGTTGAAGGGCACTTTGAATTCAATGCTGGCCACATCCATTAGCAATCTGACCCTGATACTCAAGGGTCGCTGCATAAACACACAGGTCTGGATGAATATGCATCTGAATGCATATATATGCATATAAGTATATATACATATTCATTCCTGGCGTAACCTTGAACTACGCACACCGTCAGCGTGTGCAGTTTTGATTTTTTAATAGTTAAATTACGTAATGCATGTAAAGCACCTAATTCTATGTTGGAAAAATATTAGCTCTATTATGATTACTATTAATGGTGGAAGGGGAAGAAGAATACTGCGGGATGCACATCCCAAACATTTCTTTTCATCATCAAGTACGTAGGTAAGCGGCTAGTATCTGGTGGCAGCAAGTGGAGCTGTGTATCTCCAAAGCAAAACGACAGGCGCTCCCCAATCTAGCAAAGACCAAAAAGATGGCTCCAAAGTCTTCAGTGAGATCATGGAATGCTTCGCGGTGCACACAGGTGGTGGCAGCCAGCTGACAACTCAGACCCACCCCTTCCAGACTCAACCGTCCGTGGCTTCTGCACAGCTTTAACCAACTGAAGGCAGAAGAGTTCAGCGAGGACTTGGCCCACCAGCCTCCGAGACCCAGCCAACATGGCAGCAGTCACAAAAATCCTGGGGGCTCAGCTGCTCGCATGTCTGTCCCACTAAGGGAACAATCCACCCTGAGCAGGTTTTGGTGACATTTTGGGAGGAGGGTCTCGGACTCTTGTTTTTCTCCTCACACCCTGAGGGGGTGAGCGCGAGGCTGCTCCTGCTGATAGCCTCTTGTGCTCCTATCAGTTTTCACTTTGGTTTTGTGCCTGGGGACAGTGCACTGGAAGGATTCCATTTTCAAACCCAGGGTTCCTCTGGGACCCTCACTGCAGGCCTAGGGGAAGTTAACCAGTTTTCAGGAATGCCTAGCAAAACAGAGGCAGTGAGGTAGGGAGCGAGCCACAGACAGCAACTCCAAAATAGCATGATTCACACACAGCGGGAGTCCTGCAGGGCCTCTCCTGTGCGCGGGCACCAGCACAAGGGCACGGGAGCTAGGCCCTGAATCACAAAACGATTTGGCAAGTGGTTTTCTATCACCATGGCTTATCAAGCAGTCATCTGGGAAAGATGGCACGCATCAGCGTCACCTTTGCCCATCAAGGAAAGACAGGAAAGGGGACCAGTGCAGAGTCTGAACATGGTACATTGTCTGGAGACAGCATGAGGATCTCCGTGCAGCATGCTCTTGGGGCTGGTGGACCTCAAGCCATCTGTGTTAGCCCTTCCTGGACTGCTACCCACCCCGCGAAGAAGAAACTTATTGGTCAGATTCTAAAGGCAGGAAGTCCTAGCCCAAAGCAGAGGCTGACTGAATACATGGAGAGGGCCCCCTGCCACTAGATGGCAGTTTCTCTGCGTTTCCATTAGAGGAAAAATGCTACAGTGCTGTTTCTAGTCTCTTCCATAGAGGAATGAATCTTTTCTAGAGAACTCTGCCCTCATGACTATCCACCTCCCCAGCTGCCTGTCACTCAAAACCATCCCACGGAGGGATAATTCAGTTCACAGACAGACAGACAGACGCCGAGAGGGAAGACCTGTGTCCGTGTGAATAGTGGACTTGGGTGGCCACACACTGTTAAGTGTGTGCTCTCCACAGTGTCCGTGGGTTAAGATCGGAATCCTCCCAACACATCAGCAAAGAGAATGAGGTTACCTGTTAGGCAACAGGAAGACGGTGGGGAGCTGGGGGTCTGGGTCTTGGCTTCCGGCAGTTTGGTAGGTTGGGTTCTTGCTGCAGAAGTCGGAGTAGGAGAAGTCACTTCTTGGGTGGGAATGATGGAAGAAGTGGGCTCCATTTGTGTAGGAAAATCTATACCCCCCGATAGAAACAGCAAACAAAACTTCAATCAGAAATACTGACTTCCTCAGTACCTTCTGGAGGTTTCCTCAGGGGGGTGGTACCCACCTAACCCACCTCCAGCCCTTTCATTTCTTCTTAGGAAGCAATCGGTCTCCAGTAGCATGAGGAAACATACTTTAAAGAAGGTGCTAGATAATCTTATCTCTATACCGAATTATTTCAACACTGCTTAATTTGTCTTTATTTGCTAGTCTGTATTAATTGTACAAAGGGGAGTTCATTCTGATATTTCTATACATGCTTATCATATAGTCTGATCATTTACATGTCCCTTATTACTTCACTTTTTATTTTAGTGTGTGTGTGTGTGTATGTGTGTGTGTGTGTGTGTGTGTGTGTGTGTAGTACTGGCCTTTAAACCCTTACGAGGCAAGGTCTAGATACTTCTGGCTAATAATGAATCCCTATGAGGAATCTGATTTGGCTGGTGATGGATGACCTTCCTCTTCAAACATGTCTACCTGAGAGGAAGAAGGCTGCAGACTTCATGAAGCACACATTAAAACCCCTAGAGTATACTTCTGCCCTTCAGTGCCTGGCATCCACCACAGCCTCTTACTAGAAAGCCTCTGGGCTCCAAAAAACCACATGTGTTTTACCTGTTTTGTGGGTCTGTGTGTCTGTTGTTGTTGGAGTCTCAGTGGTGGCAGATATCCTGGTCTGTGCATGTGTTGTTGTTGTTGTCGGAGTTGTGGTGGTAGAGACCCTGGTTGATGTTGCAACAGTTGTGACCATTGTGGGAGCTAGAAATCAACAGGAAAGCAAGGACCAATCAACAACAAGAAAGCAAGAGCCTCGTTCTGGTCTTCAACCCCAGCACACCAATCAGAGACTGTCGTCCAGGCAGAATTTTCTGAACTCCATCACTTTTGTTCACTGGCCAACTAGAATCGGATGGAGGAGGATGGAGATGAATGGAGTATTTGGGAGGTGAGGACAGGTTTCATATGTGCATTGAAGGATTTTTTTTTTAAGATCAGTCATGAGTATTGGATTTGGATCACTCCACAAACATCTTTGTGAGCAGGGAAGTTACGGAGAGGCTGGGACCATCTTTGTCCTCTTGGTGATATGAACAGTAGTTCTCAAGTCCAGCATGTTCACCAGCGTTCCCTGGAGACAGTCCCAAGGTGCCAACATCCTAACAAGAGCAATTCCTGCCCATCACCCTACGCTAGCTGGATCCCAGGCACAAAGGATTTACACATTCACTGGCCTTTTCATGTTTCTTCTCACTGAAAAGATGCAAGCTGAGCATCCCTTAGCTGTAGTGCTTGGGGTCAGAAGGGGCTCAGAATTGAATATATGTTTCATTTTGGAATATCTGCATGCAAATAACAGATATATTTTGTGAACAGGGCTCAAGTCTCAACATGAAATGCATTTATTTTTCATGTATGTGCACTGAATCTACATAGTCTAAAGTAAGGTTATGTTAAGTTCAAGTGGCAGTTTTAATCATCTTCTGCATGAAGCCAAGTTTGATAGTGTAGAATTTCCCACTTGTAGTACCCATGACAATGGGATTAGGCTTCCTCAATCTGTAATGCACAAATTGACAGAATAAGAAGCACTATTGGAATCCAGACAAAAGTCTCAGAGGTACACAAATATCCAAGGTCAGACCAAGCCAGAACTGATTTCCTGTTACCAAACAAAGCAGTCAACAAAAGAATGAACCAAACACCAACCAGCTGTTGACACCACTCATATATATGATTTATATGTATGTATGTACATATATACAGCTACCTTAGCCCCAAGTAAGAGCAGTTGACTTCTGTCTTTTGTTCCCATTATGATCTTCTGACCAGACAGTTTGGCATGCTTGCTTTTTTTCACTAGGTCAGATTGATTTTAAACTGTGGAGGGAGAGCTTTGGCTTTTGCTCAAGCCTCTGGCTATGCATTAGAGTAAACAACAACAGTGCCAGGGGCTTATCCTAGCTACTCTGAAGGCTGAGATCTGAGTATTCTTGTTCAAAACCAGCCCAGGCAGGAAAGTTCATGAGACTCTAATCTCCACTTAGACACCAGAAAACCAGAAGTGGTGCTGTGGCTCAAAGTGATAGAGTGCTAGCCTTGAGCAAAAAGAGCTCGGGGACAGGGACAGCCCCAAGTTCCAGCCCTCGTGACCTATCAAAAATAAAAAGATAAAGTTCAGGAGAACTGGGAAGGCTAGATGTGGGCTTCTCACAATCCTTAGCATTTTCTGCTACATACCAGTACAGTTGTAAACTGTTAAGAAGGGACAGTTCCCCATTCTTCACATTCTTCCATAACGCCAGGACTGTATAAAGCCCCAGGGCTGGATAAGATCTGCTAAACTAAGCTAAGGCAAAGTAAGCAGGACTAGAAACTCAATAAATCTAGGCCTTCCTCAAATGATATTATCAATATCCAAACCCTCAGCAGAAAAACAGTTCCCCAGCCAGGTTGTAAGATATGATCTCGGGAGAAAAGGGAGAGTTCTTTCAGTTAAGTAAATTCAGCTTGATAAAGCTAAATCCACACTTCACTACTGAACAGTGGACGGTAACTCACGGACTAACAAGTCTGTCTAGAAGCACCCACCGTGGAAATGTTTCCAGCCCCTGACCTTAAATCAAGGTTGACCTTACAACTTCATCTACATCTGAATAAAAGTTCTGTTCCTAAAAGCAAGTATTTATAGAAAAACAGGACTGAAAAAAAAAACCACTTTCCTATTTCCAAAACAGAAAAAGAGAACAGTATTACCAAACTGAAAAGTAGTTCACTGGGATGGGATAGTCAGAGGATATAAGATAAGATTACCTGGGCCAACCTCGAGGGACAAGGTGATTTTCTGATCATTGAACCAGCCTGGAATCTCCACGCGGCAACAGTACAGGCCACTGTCAGCCTCCGTGACATCCTCTATGGTCAAAGACACGTTCCCTTGTGCAAGCTGTCCCTTCAACTGGTAACGTGACTGCCGCCGGTAGGTGACGCTGTACCCGTTGGTCCAGATAAGAGCATCTGTGCATGAGGACCTAGGACAAGCCCCTCGGCCCCAGCACATGCTTGTCACTCCCCTCGTCACTGAGTACGTGCAGGGCAGGGTCACCGACTGATGCACCATCCCATTCACTTGGGAGGTGGAAGGAATCACAGCATCTGGGGAAAAAAAAAAAAGAGGAGAAACACCCCCCAAAAAAGCTTCAATCGTTTCCTAAAAGGCTGTTTTTACCACATTGGGTCTTCTTATTTAATCTCTGGAATTTAAAATTTTTAGTACTATGAACATTTTTTTCAAGTAACACATTCTCTATTAGCATAATGACTACAATATCCATGCTGTGTTTCTTTACTCCTTTCTTCCTTTCCTTCCTTCCTTTCTGTTTATCCCTTCCTTCCTTCCTTCTTTCCTTCCTTCCTTCCTTCCCTCCTTCCCTCCTTTCTTTGTTGCTTGAGAGAGAGTATCTCATTATGAAGCCTAAGGTTGGCTTTGGGACTCACTATGTGGCTGGTCTCAAACTCAGGATCCTTCTCCCTCAGCATTCTGAAAGCGCTAGGATTACAGGTGTGTGCTGCCTACCACAACTGGCCTGTTACTCATTTTTACCATTTTTGTAAATAATGCCATAAAATCTTTCTACACATTGTTTTTCTCATGGTTCTAAGGTTTGAACTCCAGGCCTTGTGCTTGCTAGGCTATCAGGATAAAAAGCAGGAATATTCTGGTCTTTTGGTGACTGTGCCCAAATGGTTTTCCAATGGATTTGCCATGACACTGAAGTAACACTACATTCTGCTCAGTGTCTGATTGCTGTTGACACATGGGTGTAGCTTTTAAGTCCTCCTCCTCCTCCTGAGCCCAGTCCTCTCTCTGAGATTCAGTCACTGTATCAACTGAAAGACATTTTTTCTAAATCAAGTATAGCCAGTGCATGTGGCTCATGCCTATAATCCTAGCTACTCAGAAGGTTGAGCTCTGAGGACAAAGAGTGCGATTTCCAGCCTGAGCAGGAAAGTCCGTAAGACTCTATCTCTAGCAAACAACTGCAAAAACAACAATAACAACAATGGAAGTAGAGCTGTAGCTCAAGTGGTACAATGCTAGCCTTGAGCAAAAAGAACTCAAGGACAGAGCCCAGGCCCTGAGTTCAAGTTCCAGGACACATACACACACACACACACACACACACACACACACACACACTAATAATAATATATCAATTATATTGTATTTAAATTTCAAAGTATCTATATATTTTTTTAGAAAGAGTTTCTATTTGCAGCCCCCACACTTGCTTTAATCTTATGTTCTTCCGGCCTCTGCCTCCTAAGTCCCAGGAAGAAAGAAAGGAAAGGAGGGAGGAAGGAAGAAAGGCAGGGAGAAAGAAGGGGGAAGAAGAGAGAAAATCTTAAATTCACTAATCTTATGTAGGACTAGGTTGTGAATTTGTGAAGTTCTCTGAGGGGGAAAATACTCATTGTAGGTCAAAAAATAAATTTATCGGGCTGGGAAGGTGGCTCAGTGGTAGAGCACTTGCCTTGCATGCCTGAGGCTTGGGTTTGATTCCTCAGCACCACATAAGCAAAAAGAAAAAAAGCCGGAAGTGGCGCTGTGGTTCAAGTGGTAGAGCGCTCGCCTTGAGCTGAAGAGCTGAGGGACAGCGCCCAGGCCCAGAGTTCAGGCCCCACGACCGGACCAAAAAAAATAAAAAATAAATAAAAAAATAAAAAATAAATTTATCACTGGAATTCTCATCATTTGATTTTTTTCCAGGATCATGTTTAGGTCCCAAACATATGCTATTATAATTATGTTATCAATTTATATAATAAAATTTTACTTTCTCCTCCAAGCCCACCCTCCAGATTAGTTTTTTATTTTTTTTTTATTTTTTATCTTTTTTGAGTCCTGTTGTGGGGCCTGAACTCTGGGCCTGGGCGCTGTCTCTCAGCTCTTCAGCTCAAGGCTAGCGCCCTACCACTTGAGCCACAGCGCCACTTCCAGCTTTTTTCTTTTTGCTTATGTGGTGCTGAGGAATCGAACCCAGGGCCTCATGCATGCAAGGCA